CCCCCCCTCACCGGGGAAAAAAGAGCGAATGCCTCGCTCGGTGCATCATAACAACTCCTGATCCTCCTTACCGAACACGGCCGACCCTTAAAAGTCTCTCTCTTACATCATGACAAGCTGGACGGATCATTTCTCCATCTATGCTACCGGATTGGAACACCAAGACCAATCCTGCTGGGGGCGTGACGATCGTCGACGGCGTGGAACCGTGATGCGTTGGTGAACAAGCATGGCTCGACCCGGACCAGGATAGGTGGTGAAAGGGTCATTCCACGGTCTGAATGTCATGGCAATGTCAACTCATGGCTGGCTCTCGACGAATGGTTACTCAACATACTATGCGTCTGCGGGCCTTGCAAGCCCCTCGTTCCTCCTAATCAGCCTCCACAAGATGATGATCGACGGCGGCAGGGTGACGATGACCCCCACAATGGCTACGATGGCCTCGACTGAGATTCGGGACATTGTTGCTCTTTGGTTGTGTCGTTTAGTCAGGGAAGAGGATTTGACGTGAGAGATTTGGTGATGGCTGAAGAGTTTTCGAAGACGAGGACGGGCTGCTCGAAGGTCCAAGTTGATGTTGATATACTTATGAAGGCAACGATCCAGATTTTGGCAATCCGTACTTGCACGACCTCCTCACTGCGCCCGCCAGACCCAAAGCGGGATCCAGCGCCCATTCGACGCTCTTGGCCCCCTTCTGAGCCTCGCTCCCAAAATCTGGGAGCTCCTGGTTCGTCAGCGTTTCTCACGTCCCTGGCAGATGGCTAGGCGGGTCTGTTTGGGCGCTGGCACGCAAGATTTTGGTACCGGCGAAGGAGACGAAAGAAGCAACGAACCCAGAATCTTGATCCGCATTAGATGTTCAGGCTATCGAACCCCCACTGCGTCAGCACCTCAGATTTTGGCTTCTGGCCCACATGCCAGATTTTGGTTCTGCCAGCCTTGCATGCACCAAAATCTGATGAGGACGCAATTCCCTGCTTTCTCCCGGGCAGGCTGATCGTCAGTTGCGTGGCATCACAGGAGTATCTCTCCCCCTCGTTGACATGAAGTGGAACGTTGTTCTCAACAAGATCTGTTGATCCCATTTCTCGACCCAGGAGAATCCTTCCCTCAAATGTCACCCATCTCCAGTTGTAGCATTGCTAAATCCACACCCATCTCATCTCCAAATTGCAAAGCCTCAGAATTCTCGACATCCATCCGTCGCAATCAAGTCCGAGAGCGCATTCAGCTGTTGAGCATGGTTTGCTTCCAGAAGGCGTCGAACAGCTATATGGCCGTTGGATGACGCAAGTTGCCGAGCCCGCTCATATTGTTGGCTTCCTGGGCCTACAACCTGCGCTCCCGCATTCAGAAGAAGTTGCACCATATCAATCCGACCATACTCAGACGCCCCCTCGAGGGCTGTTTTCCCATCGACCTTTGCGGGTAAAGCGTCGATCTCGGCTCCCTTGTTGAGCAGCAGACAGGCAATGCCGAGATCCCCCTTGCAAGCTGCCAGTTGAAGTGCGGTTGCTCCGGACTGATCGCATGGGGGTGAATTCACATCCGCGCCTTTCTGCAGTATAAATTCAACAATGTCCAAACAACCCTGCTCGGCAGCCAGCTGCAAAGGTGTTCGTGAAAGCCTCCCAACTGCCTTCGTATTCACCTCGGCTCCTGCGGTTACTAGCATTTCGGCCAGTTTGAAACTCTTCCGCCGAATGGCCTGCAGCAGAGCGGTCCCATTGGCTTTGTCACTTATTCTTTTGTTGGGATCCACGCCCCCATTCAAGAGCTTGCGAACCATCCATAGATCCATGCTCTTGTCAAGCCTGATTGCAGTTCCAAATGCAGATTCGTTGTCCTCTGCCCCTCCTGCACTATAAGATTGCTGTCTGCGCTGAGGTCTTACGATTGTGCTTGGGTTTATACCATTTGATAATAGTAATTCAACCATGGCAGCGTCCGCCGATTTGATAGCTTGCTGCAGTGCCCGACAACCAAACCCACACGAATAGTATTGGAATCGCTGGAACTTGGCTGTCAGAAGCAGTTGCATAAGAGCTGGACCCCCCCAGACAGCGGGAATCAAGGACCAATCATCGGGTTCCGCGCCTAACCTCAGGAGATAGTGAACGGTGTCAACATCTTCGTTGCGAACAGCAGCCGCAAGCGCCGTTTGTCCGGAATAACGACCGGCGGGAGTGTTGACATCGGCGCCTGCATCAATTAAGATTTGAACGCTCGTCAGATCACGCTTCTCAACTGCCACAGTAAGTGCTGGCTTGTCTGTGCCTGGCCCTGGCGTGTCAACATCAGCTCCGATCTCGATTATCTCTTGGATTAGGGGATGGTACCCCAATGACACTGCTGCTGGTAGCACGGAAACAACATAACTTCGAGGCCAGGAGCATTCGCAAATTTCAGCAGCTGTCATGTTTACTTCCGCCCCAGCGGCCAACAGCCGTCGTGACAGATCAATAGCTCCTCGACGTATTGATTCCAAGAGAGCAGTGGCGCTTGTCTTCTGATCCTTGGCGTTAACATCTGCACCGGCCGCAAGAAGCATCCCGATGACGTCGTCCCGACTCTGAGCTATCGCGCAGCGTAGAGACGTCCCAAGATAATGTACTGCGATAGCCTGGAAGGCTGAATTGTCGCTGAGAAGTAAGCGAAGCACTGCGATGTCTCCCCTTCCAGCAGCGGCTTCAATCGCTGCAGTTAAACCCGATGCATTTGCAAGCTCAACCCCACATGTAGAAAGGGCGTTGATCAGCTCCTGATTTCCACGGTGTATAGCTGCAACGAACGCCCCACCGCGGCTGCTTTCTCTTGTGTTATTGTCTGCAAGGTCCCACAGGAGCCAAAAGATCTCAGACCTGGTTTTGCCCGCAGCTATTTGAATCATTTTAGTTGTGATTCGAGCTTTGGTACTGAGGAGCTTGATGATCTGCAATTTGCCTGTCCCGACAGCAGAAAGCAAATTTTCTTCGGTGCATGGCGCATCGGCCTCTAGCAATAGTTGAATCAAATCGACATTGCAACGGCCCAACGCAGCTCCTAGTAGGTTGAGCGGTTCCTCGTAGTCATATTGAGCTGTGACATGCACATTTGCGCCAGCTCGAAGCAGATGGCGAACAACAGTAATCACGTTGGAGACAGGTGCTCCTTTGTTGCGTACTGCTTGGAAAATTGGAGTAGACCCAGTAACAGGATAGGCAAAATTTGGATCGGCACCAGCAGAAAGAAGGATTCCGACCAGTCGTGGAAGACAACTTCTTGCAGCCTCAAACAGTGGGGATTCATCCGAACCTGGATTGACATTTGCGTGCGCGTCGAGCAGAAGTTGTACCAGACCGATGTCCACATTCTCGAGATCATCATCATAAAAAGTATCGTATTCTTCACCCAGAGATCTAATAGCAGAGGTCAAAGGCGATTTAGAGTTCGATCCCGCGCTTTGGATATCTGCCCCAGCATCTAGCAAAATCTGCACGAGGTCGAGGCTGCCTAATTCGCATGCACGTTGAAGTGGCGTGAGTGAGAGCCTAAATAGCACAGGGATTCGCGATTGATTGAGATCAAGACCAGACCGCAGTATGGCTTCGACCATCGGAGCGTTCCGCTCTTCGATTGCAAGGGCGAATATGTTTTCCCTGAGTGCTTCTATGGTCGGTCCGCCAACAGACATGAGATTTTCGAAAAGACCGGCTTCTTGCGACCGGCGCTTAATCCAATTGTAGATCTTACTGCTAGTCTTCGAGTCCGTCTCAACCAAGTTATTCGAGATCATGAACAGAGCGAGGTTCAAAAAGTTCACTGCCGGTGGTGGTGGCATTGCCACATCCAGCTTGCTAGGTTGGCCACAGAGTATTTCGTCGGGTATCAGTGCCTTGAGGTTTTGACGGAATGATTTGGACTGTTCGTCTCCGTCTGCCTCGTTGTTGAAGCGGCCAACAATGCTCGATTCGAGATCTTGGAGGCTGGAAGAAGACACTACACCGTCACCTCTGGGACTGCTTGCGTAGGGGTTTTCTGCGAGTTCAGAGTCAGCCGCATTCTCTAGAGACCGGCCCAGGCGGGATACTGGCATTGATAGGAGAATAGGTTTGGCGAAAGGGTTCCATCAGGCCACCATTGCTTCCTCGACCATAGGGCTGACCTACCTTCAAGATTGATTCTGTGATTGAAATGTGCGAAAGGAAGAGAGCTCGTCAATAAAGATACGTAAGTCGTGGGTATTGGTATGAAGGAAGCCGTTTTTGGTGAAGCTGAGGTTAATGCTGCCGGCGCAAGTATCGGGGTTTGGATCGTGATTCCCTCTGGTGTTCGTGGTGATGGTGCTGTTGTCACGGTGAGCGGCGTCAACATGATGGAAACGGAGGACCAGATACCGTCAAAGTCCAGTACCGAACGCGATCGGTATCTGGTGATTGCTTTCTTGACCTTTTTGGCCTTCATAGGAAATCCATCACTGCACACTTCGCTATCCTTGTTGTCTCGTTTCCGTTTTTGGATCTTGTGTGTGACTACCTTCCATTCGTCTTTGGTCAAGTTCTTTCGAAATTCCCATTTTTTATTGAGGTGGGCCTCAAATTGGGCTTTGCTTTAAGGGAGTCAGGACTCTCGTCAATGGGTGAAGATGAACCGGGACTGGATCTCACCTGGCACGAAAGCCATATTTCGAGGCCATTTCCCTCATGAGCTCCTCAAGACTGTGATCTTGAATCAGGTAGAAGGTGCGAATGGTGTCTCTGTGCGACTCCCACACCGAATCAACCACGTCATCACCGACTCGGCTAGACATCTTGCCTGCTTTTGTCGAGAGCAATACTCTAGCTAAACGGCGCAGTCTGATTGCAAGAAATAAATGAAGCTTCGATCCTGGCGATCAGAACTGACAGAGGTGGGAAGAAGTCTTGAATTACTGTGTTGCAACAGCCTCATTAAAATCTTTTGGATTTGCGCCCGACTTACGAGGGGCACGAGCAAGTCGCATTTCATTGGGCCGTCGTAGGCCTCCCACGCTTCCCAAAATCTGGACGACCCCAGAAGCCCTTGCATAAGTGACCATCACCAATCCAAAATCTTGCGCCACATCATCTCTAATTCGCCGGATTTTGGACACCTTTGACTCTGTCAAGACCCCCAAAGCCAGCCGGAACAGGCGAGTGACGTGTTTAGCGGATTAGCTGGAACCGACTCCCACTAGGCGGATGCAGTGACTAGCTGGGACGATGTCGGATTCCATGCAGATTTTGGCATGATTGACCAAGGGGTGAGCGCAGCACTAGGCCCGGCCATGGGGGTCCAAAACTAGGACCTCGTGTCCTAAAACGGCAAACCGGTCAAGACGAGCCGGACCGTCCCAGTGCCAAGAGCGCGTCCACACTTGCCTCGCCATTATCCAAAGTTCTTTCCCGAATGAACTGAAAATTCGAGGCCGCAGCGAATCCTCGAGGCTTGTGTCCAATAGGTAGACATGGCGCAGAACTAAACAACTGCCTTATGCCGAAGTCCAAATTGTTCGAACTCGTTCTTGTGACGTTCAAGGGCACGGGACCACAACACCACGCTTCAGGCACCGTACTCCCTCCCCTTTACAACCATTGTTCCGCCTCATTAGCCCTTCTCTCACCCCGCTCCATCTCTCTCCGGATGTCATCTTCCAATCCCTCCATCCCTCCTCTGGGCCTTCCCCTTTCCCGTCTTCCCCTTCGCCTGCTCCCTCTGCCGCTGTCGTCGTAGCTTTCCAATGACCCATGTACATACAAGCGAAGGGTCTACCGCGTTTGCACAAGACCGTGTGGGCAACAGACTGGATTCTATGCTATCATCTATGAGCCATTGATATTCAGATATTCTAGATGACACTGACAAGTCTCGAATGAAAATCTACAGTACCACTGTACGCGAGGTGGCTTGCAGTACATAGTGGCCTCGGTGTCAACTTCATTCCTCTAGGTTAGAGGGAAGCCTTGACCTCACCACCCTGCCGACCATCGAGGACGAAACCATCCCAATTCTCCAATGCCTTGCGACACTCCGCCTCGTACTGGGCAACGCCCCCGAGGTAGTTCAGCTGCTCTCGCTTCTTGCCGGGGATGTTCGCCCCCATGTACCACGAATCGGCCAAGGGGAACAAAGTCTTCTCGTTCATATCTTGGATCGCGTCACCCCATTTCTGTGCGGCGTCGGGCGTCACCTCGATCGTTTCGACGTTTTCCCTGCGCATCTTCTCGATGGCGTCGGCGACCCAGTCGCCCTGGCATTCGACAATGGTGCTCCCATTGGCCAGGGCGGTTGGTGCTAGGGGCGACGGGTCAGCACAGTGCTCGATTTCTTCATCCGAAAAGCCATGTAACTCACCTTGAGGGCTGTACACCATAAACATGTTGGGAACACCGGGCACCATGAGACCCAAGTGTGTCTTGACACCGTTCTTCCATTGTTCCTTGAGGTCGACCCCATTCCTATCCTTGAGACCCATATTCGTGTAGCTGCCAGTGATTGCATCGTAGCCTGTAGCCATGATAATATAGTCTGCCTTGTGTACTTTACCGTCGGCAGTTTGGATTCCGTCGGCGGTGAATCTCTCGATAGGATTGTCCTTGACACTGATGAGATTCACGTTTTCTCGGTCGATGCACTCATAATAGTCCTGCTCTAGACTAGGTCGCTTCGTGCCGAACGGGTGTGGCTTGACCTTGGGGGCCACAATCTCTGCTTTCCGTGCATCCTTGATCCGGGCCTGAACTTTTCGTCTCCAGAAGCTGTATATTAGGTCGTTCGCTTGCTCGTTGAACACGTAGTCGCGGAAGCCACCCATGGAGAAGTTGAACCCTCCGCGCTCCCATAGTTCGTTCCAGCGCGCTTCGCGTTCCTCGTCGGTGACTTTCAACATCGATCTAGATTCGGCAGTGTGTGGGAGGCCACTCCGGCTCGCTCTTGTGGCCTTGAAGAGTAGATCGTAGGCGCCCTTGTACTGGTTCTGCTCTTCGACCGACATCTTCCGCTGTTTCATTGGAAATGCCATGTTTGGCGTGCGGCAAAAGACGTGCAGCGTGTCGGCCAGCTTAGACACGGACTGTGTGAGTTGGACACCGGTAGCGCCTTGAACACACCACCGAGTTACTCGCGACTCCTTGCAGCTAGGGTTTGACGAAGCAATCACTGACCTTGTCCGATGATCGCGACACTCTTCCCGCGAAAGTCGAATGCGTCTTCCTCGGGAAATCCAGCAGAGTGCAACAGAGTACCGTTGTAATCCTCAATGCCAGGATATTCTGGCAAGTACTTTCGATAACTCGAGCCCGCCGCAGCAACGAGATACTTGCATCGAATGTGGAGCCCAGACTCGGTAGTGACGGTCCACCCGAGGTCCTTGTTGTCCCAGGTGCAATCGACGACGTTCTGCTGAAGCCTGATGTGCTCATTCAACCCCAGTGCGGAGGCGGCGTGGTGGAAGTACCGACGAAGCTCATCGTGGGCCGGGAATCTCTCGCTCCATGACCAGTCCTTCCAGACTTTGTGGAGGCTGTATTGATAGTACGGCACCTCAGAGTCTACACGGGCACCCGGATACCCTGGGACAGAGTAAGTGTTTCTGAACAAAGTAATTTGAGGTTGAAGGGACTCAGCACGATTCCAGTGCCACACGCCTCCTAAGCCATCGGCGGCATCAATGGCAACTGCATTCAGCCCCTTTTCACGCAACTTGTAGAGAGTGTACAAGCCACCAAATCCGCAGCCAATGACAAGTGCGTCTAGATTCAGGTCGGCGCTGCCGTTGACGCCGTTGGTGACTCCGTTGGACTGTGCCATGCTTGGCTGGTATTCAACGCAATGAAAGAAATCGACCGCCCCGGTACAACGAGATTGCCGGAGCTCTTAGAAACGCTGACAGAGTGTGAGGGCATCCAACATTTTGACCTAGCAGGCCCCCGTAAAAGACATATGTGCCTCATAGAAGATATGTCGAGGGATGCCACCGGCGGCCAGGGTACCCCACGCACTGTCAAAGAGACGGGGCATCCGGGTAAGTGTTGGTGGACAGACCTGCGGATCATGCCATTGGTGCCAATTCGAGGACGGTTACGGCTAAGGGTCTATACAATGCCAACCGACACCTTTGTACTCGGTACCCCAACCGTCGAGCCGGCTTTGCGTTGGGACTCACAAGGCCAGTGAAAGTCGAATGGGATGTACCGGTACCATCTCCCAGGCTCACTATTCCACTTACACCTTGCTCTAGGGTGGCTGCCCTAATCTGAACTGGACGGCAAATAGGAAGACATGGGATCGCCGCACTATGTATATGCGAGCCAAATTGTCCCCCTGGTACCGATTTCAAATGCAAGCGTGTTCGAACTTCCCAAATGACCTTGCGCTGCTTTCTTTGCGGCTCCAGGGAGATTTCCAAGATGCAACCAATCCCTTCGTCTCGCAAGCCCGACTATACTCGGTTATCGTTTACCGGGGAACCGAGTCCCAATGGTTTGTATTTGTGGCGTGGAAGGGTGGCAAATTGTCTGTAACATGACACTACCGTCCATACCCGACGGGTACCATCAAAAGACCCTTCAAGAGCTGGCAGTATGGGGTGGGCAGTGGGCAGTACAAGGCATCATCCAACAGGCGGAAAACGACAAAGGGGAAAACAAAAGGCCACAGAACCTGCCTACACTCGGTCACACCACCCGCAATAACGGTCGTGTTGGAAAACAAGACAAAATGACCGGTCATCGGGGTCCCCTGGACACGTTGAGCGTGTACAAGGACATTTCCAATCGTCTCATGAACACCAACCCGCCGCTGGACCTCGAAGGGCAGCGCCAGCAGGTCGGGAGGCTCGGTGACTTGGCTACTGAGCCTACGGAGGTGACCTACGAGGAGGAGACGGTGCCCGGCAGCAACCTGCCCGCCATATGGGTCAAGCCCGTGCACGCGAACCCGTCGCAGGTGATCCTCTACTTCCACGGCGGGGGCGGGTTCGCGGGCTCGCCGTCGAGTCACCGCAAGCTGGTCGGCCACCTGGCCAAGCGGGCCGGCTGCTACGGCCTGGTCACGGACTACGCCCTGGTGCCCGAGTGTCCGCTGCCCGCGAACCGGCTGGACGGACTGTCGACGTGGAACTGGCTCACGGGCGAAAAGGGGTTTGCGCCCAACCAGATCGCGCTGGGAGGCGACTCTGCGGGCGGCAACGTCGCCACGGGGGTGGCGCTGTCATTGAAGGAGCAGCACCAATCGCTCCCGGCCGCGGTCGTGGCCTTTTCCCCCTGGATCGACATGGAGAATCTCGGCGAGTCGCTCAAGAGCAACGCCGACACAGACTTCCTTAGTCCGCCCGGCATGGCCGACATGGCGGTCGCGATGTACTTGGGTGGGACGACATCGCCAAGGGACCCCTTTGCGAACCCCCTGTACGCCAACTTCACCGGCATGCCGCCCATGAACATCTCAGCCGGCGGGGCCGAGACGTTGAGGGACGACGCGGTCCGGCTGGCCGAGCATGTGAAGAAGGCCGGTGTCGAGACCGAGCTGGAGATCGTCCCCAACGGGCAGCACGTCTATCACTTTGCGGTTGGCAGGGAACCTGAGGCGACGCGGACGGTCGAGAAAGTCGGTGACTGGCTTCGTGCGAAGCTGAATTAGACGATCATTTTGGAGATATCGACAGTTGGTCTATATGGAATATTGTATAGATCTAGGCTTGTGCACGCATGGCAGTTTGGCTCCGATGTACTTGCCAACTATATCCCTTTTGCAAGGTCAGCTTCCAGGGCCCCAAATGTCAAAGCAAAGACGTGTGCGTACAGATCTATCTTTGCGATTCTCGCAAATCGACACTGTGTGGTCTAACAATCTAGATGTCCACAAAAATGGTTGACTCTTATTCCCTGGCTACAACTCATCTTCACAATCGCGCGGTCGACGACTGCTTCGTCGGGCACAGCATCTCGTCGACGTCAAAGGTTTTCTGCACGTCAGCCCCGTCCACTAGGCCCAAGTACCACGACTTGTCACTGTCATCGAGATCGCGGAGCGAGTAGCCGTTGCCGAGCCAGGCCCACATGTTTCGTGAGTGGTAGTTGATGTCGAAATCTTCGTAGCGCGGCGAGGACATCAGCTCGAGGCTGAGAGTCTGTTAGCAACATATACCTGTACAGGATGAATGGGCTCCCCGGGGAAAACTCTGAAGGAGCCAGTGTTCAAGTGGGCAATAACAGATAGAACGGGGACGAGAAGAGCATAGGAAATTTTTGGAGGGCCTCACTATTGAGCACGACTTCCCGGATGCAGCATCACACGCCCATCAATCTGATTTCCTTTGAACCAACTGCGGCAGTGTCCACTGTAGACCATCCGCTTGTTGAAGAGATCGGCATGCTCGGCATAATCGTCAATGCAGCGCTGCTTCGGTGTGAGGTCGCGGATGTCATCCGTCTGCATCTTCTTGACCACCGAGATGATATAGGTGGTAAAAGCCTCGATCATCGGCATGGCACTTCCCTGGCCGAGGGGTCCGTAGGGTCCATAGAATGTGAGGTAGTTTGGCATCTGAGGGGCTGCAACTCCGAGGTAGCTCACAGGCGTCTTGCGGTAGATATCTTGTAGGTTGATACCATTGGCAGTGATGGGAAACCGCGGGACCCACGAGGTATTGAACCCTGTTGCGAGAATGATGACGTCGACCTTGTGTTCGTTGCCCTCGGGATCTATGAAGCCGTCGGGCGTCACCTGCGTCAAGCCGCCGTGTTTGAATGTGGTCACGTTCGGTTGCAGTAGCGCTTCGAGGTATCCAGTTCCAGGGCTGTACGGTGTTAGCGATCAGGGACTGTTGACCAGGATAGAACCATACGTAGGACGTCGACATCCCAGGGGGAACTCCTTGGGAATCAGGGAATCCACAAGATCTTCTCTATCTTGCAATCTCTTCCTCATTTCGCGTGCCGCATACTAATGGCAATCCGTTAGTTCTGGCCGGTTTCAAACTCCAAAGCGCAATGGGTGGCCTACTCGCATTCCACCATTCGACTGAGGCGTGTTCAGATGAAAAGCCAAAAAGTCGCCGTTCATCTCCAGCTCGACGGCCTTGCGGTACTTTAGATAGTACTCTGGATCGTCTCGCAGTAGCTGCTTTTGCTTCTCTGTATCTAACTCAATGTATCAGCGGCACGTCCTCTCTTCAAGACTGCTCCTGAGCACAAACATGCAAAGTTCCCGCCATTTGGCCCAGCGTACTTTTGGGCAAATCCTGGAGTGATCCACGTAGGGGAGCGGATCCAGGTGTATAGGTGTGATGCCTCTTGGTGTACATTGGCAACGAGCTGGATGCCGCTAGAACCGTTACCGACGACTGCCACTCGCTTGCCTTTAAGCGGAAGGTCCTCGGGATAGCCAGCAGAGTGTGCAACAACTCCTCGGAAGGTGTCGAGGCCACTGATGTTGGGCCAGTTCCAGTCACTAGCCGTGTTGGTCAATACCTAATTGGAACTGTGGATTGGAGGCACTGACTTCAGAAATCCCATGGCATTCACAAAGACATCACAACTATCCTCAATTTTCTTGTTCGTCGTGAGATCAGTTATCTGTACTTTCCATTTCGCTTCCTGGGCGATCCATTGCGCATGATCGACCCGGTGTTGTAATCTGATGGCGTTGTACAATTGATATTTATCGGCCACGCTCTTGAAGTAGCGAAAAATCTCTGGAGCTTCGGAATAGAACTTGGACCATATCGCTGGCTCCCAGCTATACTGATATGTCACACTGGGAATATCACACGCGCAGCCTCTAAAGATTATTGAACATGTTAGCCTTTTGCCAGCGAGTCGAGCCTTGAGCAGATCAAATGGCCATGGAGAAGGATGGCGAGCGAGGGTTCGCACACACTTTCTCCCCCCAAAAGGGGTATCCGCTGAGAAGATGGACTTACGGATATCTGTTTTCCAGCCATGTCCCTGCCACTTCAGCGTTCTTTTCATATATTATCAGGTCGACATTCTTGAGATCCCGCGCAGACTTGGCTAGGCTAATACCTGAAGCACCCGCACCGACGCAGATCACCTTCATGGGCCTAATTGGACCTGAAGGTCTTTCGTTGATGGTATACCCTCGGTCATTGGTGGTTGGCCACCCGTACCGCGCGGGACGTTCATGCATAGGCACTTGCACTCTGTTGGCCTTTTTGACCTGCTTTTGTCCCTAGAAGACACGAGGGCAGTATCAGCACATCTGACACAGTCAACAAACAGGTGGTTCTCTGACTGACCTCCATTTTTCGTCGATATTCCCAATCGCGAAAGCTGTGTACCAAAAGAAAATGTTTGAACAAACCTGGGGCCCAAGTCGCTAAACATGACGGCGACCTAAGCTGCCCGACCGTTATGGTCTCTATACACCACAGCGGATCGTCTCACTCTACCGGAGTCTCATCGGTTAATGCCTCCCGAGCAATCTCGGCATAGTGTTTTCCGCCCCGGGAGAAGGAAAATGGGGGAGCACCATCGATAATCTCTTTGACCAGGGCGGGCAAGCATCAAGGTCGCAGGTAGGGAACATCTTCTTGATCATTACTAGAACACGGCCAGACACTCGCTGGGAAGGCCACTGTAAGTGCAGGAGGCCCGACAGTTGTGGCGTTGATTCACATGGACAGTATATGCGGAGCAAGGATTTCCGAAAAGACGCATATTTTATTGGTTGAGTAGCGGTGGCGTACCCGATTGGCCAACTGACAGTCTGGTCACGTGGCTTACACGTGATCTGCTTCCCCACAATGTTACCAGCCCCTCGGCCTTCCAACGCTTTAGCCCTCTTGCCCTCCTCCAACCCTACGAGGTGCCTCGTATAAACTATTTTATTTGTTGTTGTCGACTATTGGTCTGTGGTATTGGTGCAGAAAGCGATAGTGTTCGCTATAACAGAAGCTTGTCCAGCCGAGCTGGACCGTCGCCGCGAAATATTCTGCCTCATATACCCTATGCTCAGATGTATCGAGAAAGGGTGGAATCGTTCGTCCCCCTGGAAAAGTGAGTCAATGCAACCAGCAACATGATACACCTATCGCGCTGATCGGAGCGCCGTGTGTCCGATGGCATGACCCAAGTTCGTCGGTCTCTTTTGGCAGTGGGAGGACCTTTTGATCAGCGCATCGACCACCATCTGTAGCCTCGTCCGATCCACGCAGTCCGGCCCAAGACCGGAAGCCTCCATCATTATGTAGAACGACTTGCGTCAAGATCTTCTCTTCCTGGATCGGAACCTGCGGAAGGTGCCTGTTCCTCCTGCAAACAGCGGGGCATTCTAGCTTTACACTTTGATAATCGACCTGCCAAGTTCCAGATTAGTCGTCGCCTACAAGGACAGAATATTCCGTATGGAGGAAGTTGACAGAAAGGCTGTGGAAGTTGCCCTCATGCATGAAGGTGGCAGGGAAGGGCGGCAGAAAGCCCCACGTGATTATGGGAATAATTAGATCACTAGTCCAAAGTCAGCCGCAGCTGAATGAGACGGCGACTGCGAATAAAGTCTGCAACACAGCCTCCCCAGCCCGGCGGCTCTGAGGGCAGGGCATATTTTGTTCAGTCTGTCTTCTTCCCACATACTTGTCGTGTCTGGCATTCACTTTTCTTTCCAAGGACCACCTTCATTGTCTGATCTCATCGATCCGGCCTTCCGTCAAAAACAAATCCATCAAAAGGACCCCTCGAGGTTGGAACCATGGTCATTCTAGGCGGCCTCGAACTTGTCGCGGCAGGATACCTGCTGAAAGAAATCCACAACGACAGCAAAGAGGAACAAGAGAGGGATCGTGAGAGACGAAGGAGAAGGCGGCGTCATTCTCGTGAAGATCACCATCGCCCTCACTACGATGACCCCAGCCCGAACCGTCCCTCTCGACCGTACCAGCAACAGCAGCTGCGCCCACCTCAACAGCCCGGCGGTCCGCCCCGACCATACAGCGCACCACCTCCACAGAATCGACCACCGATAATGCCGGTCGCGGTCGCAAATGCGCCAATGTGGCACCCACAACCACAACAGGGAATCCCCCCTCAACAAGGTCCGCTACAAAGCTACGGGACGTGGCCGCAAGGACCACCATCACAACAGCAGCAGCGACCTTCTCAGCCTCAGCCTCAGTGGCAAGGCAACCCCCCTCCTCAAAACAATATAAACGCCAACTTTGTCCCTCCGCCTCTGCAGCGTCCTGCCACAGTGTATCCGCCGCCCGGCGTGCACATTGACATGAAGACAGGCAAGATCCAGCATGATATGTATCCGCCGGAGATGCCTCGCGACCAGAAAAAGCCGGGAGAAGCACGAGAGTACTACGACGGGGGTCGTAAGGAATTTCAGCGGGTACGGGAGAACTCAATGCCCACGCAGCAACGGCCGCAATATCACCAGCCTAACGGAGGAGAGAACGGTCTCCAGCATACCTACTCACAACCTCAAATCAACGTCACACCGGTACACAAGCCTACACCCCCACCGCGAGAAGGGTACGTAGAACTCGATGCCGAGACTCCTGGTAGATACCGACCCTATGGCAATGAAAAGAGCGATAGAGGAAAGTCGAGCTCGTACTCCAGTCGGTACAGGGGTGATGACATGGATATGCGCGATCCCCCACCTGCGTATCGCGAGTGACGCAGGAGATGTCAAAAGGTCAATGCTTGATTGGAGCAATGTCGCAAAGGCCAGATGAAAATGATTTTGCCAGAGTTATGACCATCTGTGGAATACGAGGGGATGTGCCTGGGAAAACTACAACAAGATTGGATTGGTATAATGACGATGATCATGAATAATATGGCTCGTAGCTGGTCTACTGAGCCACAAGAATATACCTTGTTGACTACTCTGCGACCTTTGAATCTCGAGACTGTGACGCTTACCATCCGAAAAGGAGGGGCATATATTATACATATCCTTGTAGGAGGTACTTGGGAGTGTCGAATGCACCTTCGAAGGAACAACTCAATAACGCTCAGAAGACTCGTTGATTTTTTCTTTTCTTGTTCGACCATGCCTTGACCTCCTCTGCACCGAGTAACACACACACACACACACACACACACACACACACACACACACACACACACACACACACATACACACACACAAACACGCACAGATACACATGTAGCTTGCTTGGGGTAAATAAAAAAAGAAACAGAAACAAAAAAGGAAGATTTTTTGCCACATATAATAGAGTA